ACCTCCCAAAGTACCAACTAGATTCACTTTCTGATCGAACGAGGTACTGAAGTCAAAAATCGAAGCATTTTTACTGCCCCAAAACGTGATGACAGACGCAAAAAAAAAAAACACACATCATGGTAAAATCAATACATTCATCGCTCCGCTCAGAATCTAAAATGTTATTATTTTTATTTATTGATATTTTTCAATTTTTGTATTCCCTTCCTCGTTTTAGAAACCCTGGTTACGCCACAATGTAGGTATTGTATACACGTCATATTGTAAACAGTTCAGTAAGATACCTGTGAGTACCAATGAGATTACTGTAGACGAAATATTTGAAACTCTCCATTCTCTATTTAATGATTACAAAAATGGCCCCGAGTTAATACCTGAAATAATTTATCGTAACTGTCATTATACACTATCTCGCCCTATTCAATACATATTTAATCTCTCACTATCCGCCGGTTATTATCCTGATAAGTGGAAGAATAGTTATGTTTACTCTACATTTAAAGCAAGTAATCAAAATATTATTAATAATTATCGTCCTATATCCCGCCTGAGTTCACTACCTAAAATTTTAGAAAAAATGATTGCAACTAAATTGTCGTCGGTATTTAGTATAATATTATTTCTGATAAACAGCACGTTTTTTGTTGTTAACGGATATAACGAAAGCTTTTGATAGTGTAGACCTTTTTATTTTTGTAAACAAATTAGAATATAGTGGTGGCATATCTGGACCAATGTTAAGATGGTTCAATTCATATATTATATTTTATATATATTTAATTATAAAGAATAAAAGGGGGGGGGGTGAATTACCCTGTATATATTATATAGGTACTTATTAATTTATTATATATCAATTCAGCAGCCATAGATATGTTTTTATTTCGTTTCTATGGAGATAAAAATCGGTCATGTTAAATCGGTTGGAATAAAATTGTATTTAGCCAAAAAAATATTTATATATGTCAATATAATTGTTGGATACCAATTTCATTATTTTAAAAATTTGCGCGACGTGGCTGTCACGTCTCGCGTCGCAACGTTTGCCATCCTGGAGTCTATCGCCGACGCGCTGTAGAGTCGACCTTTGTACCCTCTGAGAGGGGACGGTCTCACC